GATTCATTCATCAGCAAAGCTGATACCTTGGCCTGTGTTCTTTGGCAACTGAAATTATAATTGGATGAGGATATTAGATGGCTTCAAATAATTAGCATATTCAACTTATTGATGCTATTTAAAAACTCAAATACCTCAAAATTAAAGCAAATCATACTCTTATAAAGACAAAAATACAAGCTGGGCAGTGGTGGTACACGCCTTTAATCCCAGCACTCAGGAGGCAGAGGCATGCAGATCTCCGAGTTCTAGGCCAGCCTGGTCTACAAAGAAACACAGAGAAACCCCATCTCAGAAAAAAAAAAAGAAAACATAAAAATACCATTCTTTCTGTAAAGGAAAAAAAGATGGTTTTATTTAAATTACAACCAAAGAAAGCTCTTCTGTATTCTGTCATTCATTTAGAACCTGATTTACAAAGTGTCTAAAAATAATGTGTCAAGGTCAATATGGCTTTTGGAATCAAGGCAACTTCTATGGAGGCTGTCTCTTTTAATGGATGTTATAGCTGTAAAGTTATACAAATATATTTTGAGATGCTTTTGTGTTTAAAACTGGTAGTATTTTAAGTTAAATTGCATAGATTTATATTCCACATATTGTATTGTATCTTGTAATTTATCCTGCGTTTTAAAGATATTCCTTAGTTTGGAGAATCCTCGATTTTGTGAATAAATACCATATGCCAAAATGTTCTCTAGTCAAATAAAATTGGGAAATGTTAAACTATATAAAATCTCTGTACAGTATAACTTAGTGGGAGTTTTTACTATACTAATATGATTTTATAATCTCCAATATTCCCAAACTTATTTGACCAAGGAAAATGTTAGGATCAAGTGTTCTAAAGAATCACATTTTTGGAAATGGTGTTCCATTCATCCAACATGTGATTTTTATAGACTTTGATCTAAATGCCTTTTGCTTAGCCTTTGGCTCTATATACTAAGGTGTTGATATTTCATAGTTATGTGGTGGCTTATCAGTCCCTTGATCACTGCAGTTGGCTTTCTCTGGGCCATTATGCTCTGAATGATAGCACACAGAAATTCAGGCTAATGTGCTGAAGTGTTGTTCCCAGGCTTATCTTGTCAGTGCCCAGCCTGTTAACCTTTGGAGGTCACAGCAGCACATTATACTGCCTTTCTTCTGAGACTATTTTGTAGTGCCTAAGTAATTCAGAATATCACATGCTATTTGCCTTCTCTTCCACTGAAATTATTCCTTCCAATGTCAGTATGACCAATAAAGTTTTGTTTTTATTGAAAAGAAATTTAAATGTCAACATGTTGGTTGTTGCTAGGACCTACCTATGAAGTTGAGATTGTCTTGAAACCTTTAACAGTTGGTTCCTGCTTTTTTAAAAAACGTGTGTGTGTGCTCATTTTTATTTTTATATTGGAATTTACTGGGGATGTTGTATATATTTCTAAAGCTTTACAAGAGAGGCAGAATACTTGTATTTGCTAAATGAAAAAATGGCTTACAAAATGTATAGCTGGAGACTCATGCATTTTAGGCAGATAGAAAGGAAGAGCAAGGATATGCAGCTTGAAACAACCCTAGTATTTGAAATAAATTTTGGTTTGAATGCAGTTGTAATGGTGATATTTGCTGGAAATGATGACATTGGGTGTAACAACTGAATGAGAAGAAGAAATGAAGATAACTCATAATTTTTGAGTGTACAGAAGAGGTGATATTGCCATACAGAAAGTAGGGCTTGGCTAAGGAGAAAGGATGCTATCATAAATAAGTTGGAAATGACAGAGTGCATCCAGGTGAAAGGGGGAACATGTAAGAGGTTCAGGGTTATAATCACTCGGGGAATAAATGGATAGCTATCATACCTATTTATTTGTCACAAAAATGTGACACCTTTCTCTGTCTCTCTCTCTCTGTCTCTCTGTCTGTCTGTCTCTGTCTCTCTGTCTCTCTCTGTCTGTCTGTCTGTCTGTCTGTCTGTCTGTCTCTGAGACAGGGTCTCCTTATGTAGTTAACCTAGAGCTTAGCTATGTATACTAGTTGGCCTCAAACTTACTGTATGTATATAGCCCAGACTGGCCTGAACCTTGCTCAGCCTCTCTGGCATGCTCAGATTTCAAGCATGCACCAACATATCTGTTTTGAAACAATAGATTTTTTGTTTATACTTTCCTTTTAGGGAGTAGGCAGAAAAGGGGCATTAAGGGGGAAAAATCAAGTTCAGGATGGTATCCTTGAAAAAAGGACTAGGTTTAGCTTCATTCCTTTATTTCTGGCTTCTTCTTCCACATCATGATTGACATCTGGTTTGCTCTGGACAGTATCACTTTGAAGGCTGTAACAATCTCCCAAACTATGCTTCATTCCTTTCCCACTAATAGCTATTTATTGGGAATGGGGGGGTCTCTATTATGGGACAGGTACCCACTGATTTATTTCTGCTTTATAAAAGGTAGAAATACAGTGAATCTACATTATAATGGTATGAGTGGTTTCTACAAGATTGTAAAATCATGTGAAGTTATGAGATCCAAAGCTGGGCATAGGACTATTATGGAGAGTTTCCTTACCACCCCAAACTCTGAGAACTGTACTTTATTTGTATCTCTTAAAGAGCAGAGTGATATTTTTGACCTTCTAGTTTATAGAATAAAAATTTATAACTATGCCTTTGGGAAAGCAGGCTTCTATGACATCCTGCTTAAGTGAGCCAGGGAGCTAGATGGATGGCTATTATTTGCTTTCAGAAAATAATGAAACTATGCTAAATATTTTTCCTAAAATGAAAATCCCCTTCTGGATAACCCTTGCTGGTATAAAAAAAATAAAATGACAGATATTTTGTTTGCCCTTATAATAGACTTAGTCTCATTTTAGAAACTTTATAAAAATGTAAACTGCTTGGGAGTGGCTTTTATCTGAAGAATATGGCTTGCATGTGTCTGTTTCACTACTTTTCTGCCGAAATCATGTGTCCTTAGGTACACTTTTGTGCATTTTCTATTGCTAACACACTACCATTGACTGCTGCTTTGTAGATGCAAAAGAGGGAGGGAAACCAGTACCCAGCCTCCTGCAATTCTCATCTTATCTCCCCACAGAATGAACTTAGAATTCTTGAGTGCTTTGCCATAGAAAGTTATTATTACCTAGGATTTGCCTTAGTGTCACTTCCGTTTCATTTTCAGAATGCTTAAAATGCCATTTGATATGTTTAGGTTGTACAAGTAGATATGTATGAGGCTTGGTTCTGGTTGGTGGTTGCTAGTCCCAGGTCACCTTGCTCACTAGTAAGTTCATCCAAACCTCAAAAGTCACACCTGTGTCCTGTGCGCGGATGCTGCAGGCTTAGGTGGAGAAAAGCAGGGCTAGAATTGGAACCCAAAGCCCAGAATGGCAAGAGAGGATGTGGGGGCTCCACCCGATCATCTCTGGGTTCACCAAGAAGGTATCTACCGAGACGAATATCAGCGCACATGGGTAGCTGTGGTGGAAGAGGTAACTGCTTTCATTTAATATATATATTTTTTTGTTTTTGCTTTCAGTTAACCTGGTTTCTGTCTAGTCTTAATATTCTGATGTCCTTGTTTTTGTTTTTGATCATTCCCATTAGGAGTCAAGTTTCCTAAAGGCTCGAGTCCAGCAAGTTCAGGTTCCCTTAGGTGATGCAACTAAGCCAAGTCACCTACTTACTTCCCAACTACCTCTCATGTGGCAACTCTACCCAGAGGAGCGCTACATGGATAACAACTCTCGATTGTGGCAGATTCAGCATCATTTAATGGTACACATTTTGCTCAGTCATTTTCCTTTGTACTGGGGATTTTACAACAGAGTACTTTATAAACTTTACTTTTTCTGACAGGTCAGGGGAGTACAGGAACTACTGCTTAAGCTTTTGCCTGATGAATAACATGGTATGTGTTTCTATTATTTTTTTCTTTCCCCTTCTTTGTTTTCACTCTATTCAGTTGTAGTGATTTGAATGATTTTTTTTTTCAGGTGCTGGAATTCTAGGAAGATATGCTCCTCTGTTCTATTCATTATATGTCAGTCACATCATTCACCACTACAGTGCTCCCACCCTTGGCACTGGGTGGGGAAGAAGTAGTTTGAAAAACTACAGATGTTTAGGAAGGGTCATGAAGAACACTTCCAGTGACACTACAGAGAGAGGGTTACACAGGGTAGAAATCAAGCCAACAAAAGCATTTAGTCAGGAACTGTAACTTGAAATTGACTCCTCCTTTGGAAATTGCCATAGAACCTTTAATGGACTTCATCAGCTGAACCTGGGATCTGGTGAATCTCTCAAAAATCAGCACATGCTACAGAACAGATGCCCTCATCATCAAGGACTTGGTACTCATTTAGAGAGAAGAGAGCAGCTTCTGTCAGCATCAACATGTGTTTGCCACTTATTTCCCTGCAGCAAATTCACCTGCCTTTCTTTCTTCCATCCTGTAAATATCTGAGGTTTTGTTCTAGTGTTTTCCATCCCAGTACTGACCTAATTTGGATCTACTGAGAACTTAAGGAGTTCTTGGATAAAGGGGTTATTTGTACTGATAAAATTAGCTTCAAAGGCTCCTATGCCTTTCTTTCTGAAATGTGTCTTTGAATTGTTTTTGCAAGTTTCTCATCAAAACCTTGTGAATCTAAATTCTTTGATTACAAATATTTTACATATTTGGCTTCCATTTGAGCTCAAAAGGTGGTATTAACTTTAATTGGCACTTTTCTCAAGAGGTAATAGCAACTAACATTGCTAATTTCTGGGAAAGTGTTTACATTATTTGTAAAGAATTTCCTGAATTAAAGCAGTCATGACAATTTATGTATATTAAAGTAAGGTTTTTCTTTTTAAAGTAAGTCTTGGACCCAGAGCAATGGTGCATGCCTATAATCCCAGCTATTTGGAAGACTGAGGCAGGATGTTCACTTGACCTCAGGAGTTTGATATCAGTCTAAGAAACATAATGAGACCCTGTCTTAAACAAAAAGCACTTGGGTATAATAGCTACTGTGTATTGAGTTCTTATTGCCTTCCAGTTACTGTTCTGTGCATTTTATATATTTTATCATGATTATCCTTCCATCAGTTCTTAGAGGTATGTATAATTCCTATTGACATGACTATTGAAAGAAAAAGGTGTTTAAGAAGTTTAATCATTTACCAAGGGTTTCTTTTGTGGATCATAGAACCAGGCATTGGGCCAGGCATTTAAAACTGTGGTGTCATTTCAACATTTGTTTACAAAATTCAAGATGGCTAGACTGAACTTTTTCATGCTATATCTTCCATACTTAATGATATGGAAATATAAAAATAGTTGATTCATTCTATCAATTAAGAAAGAATATTTTTAGAACAACTGTTTTTCTAACAATTATAAGGTCATTCTACTTGCCCAGAAGAAAATTCCAAGTAAATAGGCATCAAAGTCTTTATAACTAAAAAGCAGAATTGTAATAATTTTTTTTTGTTTTAGTTTTCTGGATATGCCACAAAAGGATCCATGCCAGAAACAAGCCTGTGAAATACAGAAATGTTTACAAGGTAGTATATAGATTTTTTAAAATAATATTTTGAAACTTTACCTGTCAACTAACTATAAGAAACTAACTATGTTGTCAGCAACTTTCATTAATTTTAAATGTAACATTTCTATAATTAACTAATCATGAATATTTTCATCATTGTATCATGAAATGTTTAAAATATTAAAAGTGATGTTATATAGGGAATGGGAGGCTGCAGTGGTAGAGCACTTGCCTAACATGTGCAAAGCACCAAGGGTTCTATGCACCACACATACAAAAAAAAGTGATTTCATTTAAGTTATGGGTTCTTGAGTCCCGTTGTACATTAGAATTACCTAACTTTTTGTTGTTGTTGTTGTTTTGTTTTTTTGAGATGGGGTTTCTCTGTGTAACAGCTCTGGCTATCCCGGAACTCATTTTTTAGACTGTGCTGGCCTCAAGCTCAGAGTTCCACACCTGCCTCTGCCTCCCAACTGTACCTGAAGAACGTTAAAAATTTGTCTAGCACACTTAAAGCAGATGTCCTGAAGGTAGGGTCTGAGCAGGAATCATTTTACAAAGCTAACCAAGTGATTTTAATGCACAACCACAGTTAAGAATTACTGAGCTGCCGGGCTTTGATGGTGTACACCTTTAGTCCCAGCACTCAGGAGGCAGAGGCAAAGGCAGACAGATCTCCGTGAGTTTGAGACCAGCCTGGTCTACAAGAGCTAGTTCCAAGACAGCCTCCAAATTCACAGAGAAACCCTGTCTTGAAAAAAAAAAAAAAAAAGCAACAAAAAGAATTACTGAGCTAAGCAAAGTCCTCCTGTAAAAAGACTGGTTTGGAGTTGAGGATATGGCTCACGGATAGAGCACTTGCCCAGAATGTACTAGTCCCTAGTTTTCATCATAAACACAGTTTCTATACACAAACAGAAAGAACCAAGCATGATGGTGCATATTTATAATCCCAATACCTCGGAAACAGAAGCAGGAGGAAAACAAGTTCAAGGCTAGCCTGGGCTACAAAGTGACAGCCTATCTCAAAAACTCAAAATTACATATATACATACCACATAGACAGGTTTTAATATTAGACCTCAGGGACTAGGAATTAGCTCAGTGGAGGACTAATTGCCTAGTATTCATGTGGTCCTATTCTAACAAGTTTGGGGCATCTGTGTCAAAACTCAGGTTGCTGTAGCTGTGTGATTTACTAATTCTTGAACTCAAAAAGGTATAAAAATGGATTTATTAAGAATTTCACTGAACAGGACAAACTCACAAAATACATAGAAGGGCTGAAGCTGCCGCTGATCCCTCACTGCCTCTCTGGCATTTGGGTCTCCCTGATGCCAAGCAAGAGCCAGAGCAAGAACATCTGAGATCCTGTCCTTCAGCTTTTAAGTTGTAGTGTAGGCTTGATGCCCCAAAAGTCATTGGCTAAATGGATCAAAATCCCACAACAGTTTACTTCTGGACCCTCTGTTGTATTCCATTAATTTTTCTCAAGACTGCTTTGGCTACTCGAGGTCTTTTGCTCTTCCAAATGAGTTTTAATATTTTTTCTAGTTTTCTGAAGAACATTATTGACATTTTAGTGGGGATTACATTGAGTCAGTAGATCACCTTTAGCAGTATTGCCATTTTATCAGTATCCTACAGATCTATGAACATGGGAGATCTTTCCATTTCCCAATGTCTTCAATTTCTTCTTCGGTATTTCATAATTGTCATTGAAAGGTCTTTTTTTTTTCACCTAGTTAGGAATATTCAGAGGCATTTTACTTTTTGAGGTTATTGTTTTCCTGATGTATTTCTTTAGTGAGTTTATTAGTATGTAGAAAAGCTACTGGTTTCTAGCCGGACGTTGGTGGCGCATGCCTTTAATCCCAGCACTCGGGAGGCAGAGGCAGGGGGATCGCCGTGAGGTCGAGGCCAGCTTGGTCTCCAGAGCGAGTGCCAGGACAGGCTCCAAAGCTACACAGAGAAACCCTGTCTCAAAAAATCAAAAAAAAAAAAAGGAAAAAGAAAGAAAAACTACTGGTTTCTATGTTTACTTTGTATTCTGATACTATGCTGACTTTATCAGTCCTAAAGATTTCGATGGAGTCCTAGGCATTTCCAAGTATAGAATAGTATTTATAAGCAGGAATAATTTGACTTACTGCTTTCCTATTTGTATTTATTCTATTTCTTTCTCTTGCTTGATTTCTCTGCTTAACATTTCAAGTACTATATTAAGTAAAGGTAGAGAGAATGGAAACCCTTTTTGAGAGGAAAGGTTGCTTTCAGTTTTCGCCTATTCAGTATGATATTGACTATAGGTTATATTTAGCATTTATTATGTGAAGATACAACCTTATTATACCTAGTTTCTTCAGGGTTATTTTATATGAAAGGATGTTGAATCTTATTGAATGTTTTTTTTCTACATCTAGTGAGGGATTAGTGTGGTTGTTTTGATTCTATATATTGTATTTATTGATTTCTGTATGTTGAACCATATTTACATCCTTGAAATGAAACCAACGTTTTGTTGGTGTCACTGAATTAAGTTTTTAAATACTTAATTTAGGCTTTCTACATGTATGTTCATTAAAGGATATTGGTTTGTAGAATAAATTTGGAAGAATTCTTTCCCTTTATTTTATTGTATATGGTATTTTGCGTGCACATATGTCTGTGTGTCACATTGGTGCCCAGTGCCTTTAGGCCAAAAAAGGATTTTTAGATTTCCTAGAACTGGAGCTATAGACAGTTGTTAGCCATCATATGGATGCTGTGAATCAAACCTAGGTCCTCTAGAATAGCAGCCAGTGCTCTTATCTGCTGAGCTATCTCCATCTCCATTCTTTTCCTTTCTATTTT